GCCCCCTGGAGCTGTAAGCCCTGATGAACTCTTTCCTCCGTAAGTTACCCCGGTGATGGTGTTGTATCACAGTAAAGGAAAAGTAACTTAATACAGCTGGTTATCACCAGCAACCATAGATAAGAGCACGGTGTGTGATGCTTCATGTCAGTTGTCAACTTGATGAGGTCCAGAATCACCTGGGAGCCTCTGAGCATGCCTGTGGGGAGTTGTCATGGTAGGTTGGTTATGGGCGGAGACCCACTCTCAGGTGGCTGGCGCCCTTCCCTAGCCTTGGTTTGTGAACTGCCTAGAAAGGAGAAAGCTGGCCAATCACTCCCATTTGTTGCTCTCTGCTTCCTGACCAGGACACAGCAGCAGCTGCTTCAACACAGTGTTCCTTGAACTTTGATCTTCAGGCTTTTGGTGGGGGGGGCGGGTGGGCAGGGTGGAGGAACCCAGAGGTTTTATAAGATTTTAATCAATATTTCGGGGAGTTAAATGTAGCATGATCTGTATGATATGGGTGTTTGTTTTCAGCACTCGTGAGGTCCGAGACATCAGTGCCCTTTCCCCATCTCCATGCGAAATAGCATTTGTGCCAGATGAAGTCACAGCTCCTCCTTCGGTGGCATTTTTGTCAAAGGTCGAGGAAAGAAAAGTAGCGGGAGAGTGGACAGCCACAGGCATGTGACAGCCAGTTTGTAAGGACTTTTGGTCCATAGGCCCGAGCCTCGCGCTCAGCACAGTGTTACACCATAGACACCTCTATAGCCTGTGTTGTCCCCTTGGACAAGTACTTCGACGAGTTTTCTTGTTTCAAATATCAAAAGCAGGTATATGCTCATTAAATTCAGCTTTTAATGACACCGTCATCACATTTTCAGGCGAATAAAGTACAGAACTATAAAGTGACGCTTCATTAAAACTGGCATTTTAACTTTGAGAATTGGTTAAGTAAGGTAAAATGATATCCCCTAGGTCTGATATTTGACACTTTCCAAAAAATTTTTTTTATTTAATTATTTTGTGTCCATGTGTGAGTCTGCGTTAGTACATGTGTACCACATGTTTGTGATAGTCTGAGGAGACCAGAAGAGTGTTGGATCCCCTGGAACTGGAGCTACAGACAGATGTGAGCTTCCCTGTAGGTGCTGGGAACTGAACTTGGGTCCTGTGCAAGAACAGTAAGTGTTCTCAGTGCCCTGGGAAGGCACTCTTACAGGAAGCCATCCTTCGGGTCACCAGTCTCTGTGGACGCTGGTGTTATTTTGTTGTGGAGCCTATCAAAGAATTAATTCTCTAGGAGAGTCTGGATACCCCCCTTCCCCCCAGTGTTATGGCTTGTGAAGAAGCAAAGTAAGGACATTAGCTCCAGGGTGGTGGAGAATAGTCAGAAGACAGGCAAGCAAGAATTGCCACAGGCATGCTTGATGCTGAGGTGGCCAGAGGTGGAAGAGAAGGGACAGGAACTCAATGAGTGCACTTATGAAAAGATCTAAAGGAGCTCTGTTTTATAACAATTGTATCACCACATAGTCAAAATGTCATGTGTGCCTTTGACTGGATTACAGGAAGACAAGTCCTGGAACCAAATAGGCTGAGAACTTAATCCTGGCTTCATGGCTTAACTGAGTGGTTGCTGTCAAGTGGCCCAGCCTCTTTTGTATTGATAGCATCTTTTGTGAAGCAGCTAGTCTTGGGAAAATGTAGCCTTAACCCTGGCACTCAGTAGCGTCTCAGTCCACGCCCCATCCCGTTCTTTTTAAACCCTTTTTAAAGGGTTTATGTTTTTTTGGTTGGTTGAGAGTAGGTGTAGAACGTTACTTCCTTTGGCTTATACAAAATTTATTACAAGTACACCAGTAATTCAGGAAAAAGCTCAGGAGGCCTTGGCTGTCTACATCCTTAAAGTTGCCTGAGTGGATCAGGCTTGTCTGCAATGAGAATCATGCAGCTTTTCTGGATTTCACTGGAGCAAGAGCCCAACTGTCTGCTCCGGCATCCATCTCTCTGGTAATCCGTTTAGACTCTGTTCCAGCATCCATCTCTCTGGTAGTCCATTTAGACTGCCTGCTGCAGCCCCCATCTCTGTGGTAATCCATTTAGGAGCACTCACCAGAGAGGAAGATGAAGTGAGAGGAAGATGAAATCCAGGTAGAGTGGAGTGCCAGAAGCAAGGAACACCAGTCTGGTGTAATCCCATGAATGTTGTCTGAAGCATGTGATATGGACCAGGCCGTGTGTTGTTTGTGGGCCTGACTTTGAGGTTTGCAAAGATCATTAAGACATGATGTTTTCCTCATGTAGTCACTGGCCCATGTCTCTAGGGCACATCTGTTGGACTGCATGGTATTGGTCTTGGTATCAATTAGCACCTCCAGTGTCTTCTGGATAAGTGGGAAATAAGCCAGCGATTTACACAGAGTCGCTCGGATGTGATCTCGTAACATGTACTTTGCTTTCCTGGAACACTGCCTGGAGACTTAGTTTCCTGTGATTGAGTAGTTAGCTATGTTTGGCTGGTTGTCTGCGAATATGACTACCCGTAGCTTTCCTTTGCCCTGCTTAAAGATGTGAGGCTAGCATGGCTCCTCGTCTGAAGCCCAACAAAAAGTGCTCAGTGGCATCAGCTAGAGGTGGTTATGGTAACCAGTAAGATGCTTTTCTAGAAATATCACTTGTGGCCTCACCTCAAGGGAGACCCACTTCCTTAAGGGTTAGTGCTTGTCCCCCAGGGGTGCTGGGCTATTGTGGGTGCTTGCTTCCTGGGGTACTGGTCCATTGTGGGTACACTGGTAGACTGTCGGCTTCATCGTGGGTGGCTTCCACTTTCACGAGTTAGATTATAAACTGCATGTAGGAGGACTGCCGCCACCATTGTACCTTGTTGCTGTCCCCATGGGCTATCTCATGCCATAAGTATTTAAATCTTCCCAACTCTAAGAGCTGAAAAGACCTAAGTAGTTTCCAGACGGAGATGAAGAGGGGAAGTATGGATTGGGACCCTGGTGGGTAAGAGTTCAGGAACCCCAGGAACCCTGTTTGATTACCTCAAGGAATGTTCTAGGCCAGAAGTCAAGAGAAACTATGTGGAAACCACCTGTTTCCAATGCCATTGGGATTGTATTTCATAGGAGCTCCTTACTTGTTCCTGCTGTGCAGGCCATGAGCCATCACTTACCTTCCTGGCCACCCAGGAACTTGAGATTTATTAATTTCTGTTCAAGCTTCTCTACTGGTCCTTCCCCCAAAGGATTTGATGATTCTCTAGGAGGGCCCACAGGACCCACATACAGCCATCCCTGGTGGCAATTTACTACCTACCGCAAAGGGCATAAAGTATTAGTGGCAAGAGGAAGGCTGCTGGGATATGCCACATGTCAGGCAAGAGCTGCCTTTGGACATGTGCAGTTCCCGCAGGAGCAAAATGTGACAAAATGTATAAAGGTTATCTATGGGGGCTAGACACTAGGTATCCAGGATTTGTACCGGGCAATGATATCACCCACTTCATGGCTCGTTCCAAAACTGCCCTGTCTCGGGAGAGCCTGCAGCAGCATAAGCCGTGTTGTCAGAGAACGATGGGAACTCTCTCCGTACCCAAGATCCAGATGTGAGCCCAGGGTCAGCTTTGACAGCAGCCGGGACGGCCTGCTCCTTTCTAGAAGGTTTCTAAGTTTGCTCTGGCTATTCACCTTGAACTTAGTGAATCGGAGACTCTGATTTGTGCATGATTCGAATTGTTGGCTCTTGGCCCTGGCTTCTTGGAGAAAAGCTGGGCTGGGTCCATGGGTGTTCTGCTTTGGGAAATAGTTTGGCCTTACCCTGACAGCTGAGGTCACCGTGTGCTTCTAAAGAGATAAAAGATCAAGAGGACTCGCCCTCCTTACCCCTGTTGCCCTGTCAATCCTTGGGTCTCAGCACCTTTTTCCTTCTGCATTTCCCAGGCACTGGGAAGCAGCCTGCAGGCCATGCAGGCTCTGACCTGTACTGCTGCGTGGGAGATGCTCAGGGTGGTGCTGTAATTTAAAGCCTGCCTTTCAAACTTGATTTTGCATTAGAGATCTTGCTTCGGGATTTGAACCTGTTTACCTTCATATGCTGCTCGTCTGTCTGTTTCTTTCCCTCTTTGGTTTGAATTTTAGTTGCTTGGCTTCAGGAATCTCACATAGGGACAGTGGTTTAAGACTTGCCATTTTGCCTTCTGGCAGATCTCCAGCTAGCCCACCCTTCTGTCTACACCACCAATGTCCATGGGTCCTAAGGCAGTGTCTTCAGGGAGTGCTGGGGGTCCCAAAGGGTCTCTCACAGGTGCTGCCTGTCACATCATGTCTGCAGTAGGTCAGGTATGTCCCGCTGCTCCTGTGCAGACGTGTCTGACTTACACTTGTGTGTAGGTGAGTCAATGGCCGATGCTTCAGATAACCTTCCTAGCCTGTGGGCCTCACTGGAACTTGGTAAAAGAGGGGTTGACTTGACACTAACTGTTGTTTGTGATTGGGGCACAGCTTTGCTCAATATGCCTGTGTCTCAGGGGCTTCCACCTACCCAGGGGGAATGGAGAAGGCAGGGAATCTGGAATTGCCCTCCCTAAGCTGACAGTCATAGACTTTGTTGTCCTTTAAGTTTTGTTATTAAATAGCTCTTGTGAACAGAGTGGGTTTTGGCTTGGTGATTAGAACTTTAAGCTTCACCTACTTTTGATTTAAGGGCTGCAGAAGCGGGAAATGGGGGGGCAGAGGGGTGGAAAGGCACCTGGCCCCCAGCTCTAAAGAGAAAACGCAGGCACCTTTTTTGGAACAATGGGCAGTCAGGTCTACAGGGCAGGGAAGGCCCTCACATTCTGCTTCTGCATCAGGTGGGAATTTGTTGTGTGCTGTATGACTGCCAGGCTAGAAGTACATGTCTCACGTTGGCTTATACTTGTTCATGAGCTGCTTTCGAGAACAGTGGTAGTAGGCATGTGAATTATGAAGCTGATGCTTTTCTGTTTCCTTAAAACTTTTTTTCCTGATCAGGTGGCTGCAGCAACTGGCCATACGGTAGTATTGGTGGACCAAACAGAGGACATCCTGTCAAAATCCAAGAAGGGAATTGAGGATAGCCTGAGGAGAATGGCAAAGAAGAAGTTCACAGAAAATCCTAAAGTAAGTCCCTATCTGTGTCCTTAAGGCTCTGACACTCCATCTTTGTGTGTGTGTGTGTCTAACTGCTTGTGTAAAACTCACACCAGCTTAGACCCACTAAATGGAATTTGGGACTGAGGAGAAAGCCCAAGGAATCAGCCACTTTGCTGTTGGAGGAGGCGCTAATGCAGAGGTTCTCAACCTGTGGGTCATGACCCCCTGCGGGGAATCACGTGACTCTTTCGCAGGGGTCACCGGAGACCATGGGAAAACAGCACATCCTTGCACTATGATTCGTAAGAGTAGCAAAACCACGGTGAAGAAGTAGCAACAAAAACAATGTAGTCGGAGGTCACTACAACGCGAGGAAGCATGAAAGGGTCACAAGAATAGGAAGATCGAGAACCGCTGCCCCAGCGTTAGGAGAGGGTTTGTGCAACTGTGGAGCTCAGTGTAAGACACAGGGCCAAAGTCAAGGAGAGAGGGAGAACGAAACAGGAAGTGGGGATTTGTAAGGTAAAACCTGAATGTTATAAAGACAGCATTTAGACAGATGCTTTTGATGGCTTGGGCACTATCGTTTCCCTGCTTAGATACTAGGGAGTCAGAGCGCCAATTGTCCTCGTTTGCCTGAGCAGAGGAAACCGAAGACCATGAGAGATAGAGGCTCTTGCATGCTGGTTTTCATGTTGAAACCTGCTATGTTTCCATCCAGCACTTCCACCGGGCATTCACATTAGTTAGATATACTTCACAAGTCAGCCAACTGAATTTTCATTTCTGTTATTACCTTGTTAAAAGTTGCTTAAGATTTTCTTCAAGCTTGACTGGAATGCCTCTTCATATATAGAGTCCTGGTAGCATAGTTGTCCCCCCCCCCCAGTTTTTTTTCTTAATTTAAATTTAGTTTTAGCTATTTTTAAAGCTAAACACATTAGTTATTTTTCTTGATGCTGTAATAAAATAACTGGGTAACTGTAATGTAAAAGTGTTTATTCTGTTTTATAATGTTAATCCTGCTGGGCAAAATTAAGACTACCACAGGTTTTGAGCCAAATTTGAAGCAAGCTTGATTAAATACTGGCCAGAACCATGGATACTACTCAGGACACTGCTGGTGTCAAATTACAGTAGTCAGGAGCTTATAAAGACAAAACCCACAAGGCTATGTACTTCCTGCCTTCATCCAATCAGGGGCAAGCGTACGTCCTGACAGCCGTCCTGACTACCAACCTCTCGCCCGTGTGTGATCAAGCACATCTTGTGCAGTTTGGGGCAACCAACCTTGTTTAAAGCAAAAACACAGGTGTAGTTATCTTACATGAAGGTAGCCAGCAGCACGCCAGGAAGGGGGCTTACAGGTTAGAGACATTTTTGTTTTACAGATCTCGTAAGCACTGCAGTTTCAATTTGAAACATAAGTTAGCCCTCACAGTAGTTCAAGGGAACCACTCCATGATGGTGCAGAAGACATAGCAGCAGGAACAGGAGGCTAGATGGCCACACTGATCCACAGTCAAGAAGCAGAGGGCCACAGAAGCTCAAACTTAGCTTGCTTTCTTATTTTATTTAGTCGGGGACCCTAGCCCATGGAAGGGTTCCACCCAGGAGGGTGAGGCTTCGCTGCTCAGTTAACCTAGTCTAGGTAGTCCCTCACAGGCCCGTAGGCTTGTCTCCTAAGTAAACTAGGTCTTATGAAGTTCTCAAGATAACCGTCATAGTTACAAACAAAGTCATGGAATTCATTATGGCATGCTCATACATCATTTCTTCCATACACTCACTTTCTGGTTTCCTACCTCCTCCTAAAGAGTGCTGCCTTGCTTTGGTACCACGTGCATCCCATTACTCTTTTCCTCCTTCCCCCTCCCTTAAGATCTCTACTTATTTCACGGTGCCCTTTCTACTTTTATCACACACACACACACACACACACACACACACACACACACACACACCACACACAGACACACACACATCTTGAGTTCACATATGAGAGAGAAAACATGAGATTTGTTTGTCTAAGTCTGGTTTATTTCACTTAACATATAATGATCTCCAGTTGCATCCATTTGCCTTCAAGTGTTGTGATTTCACTTTTCTTTATGGCCAAATACAATCCCATTGTGTATATATAGACCACATTTTCCCTATCCCTTCGTCTGTTGATGGGCATCTAGGCTGGTTGAATTTTATAGCTCCTGACAAATGCAGCAATAATGGATCTGCAAGGGTCTCTGTGATGTGTTCACTCAGCATCGTTCATTGTAGCTCTGTAGTCAGCGTGTGTGAGGAACCTCCGCCCTGTCTTCCACAAAGTGTAATTGTGACCTCCTTCCCACATCTTTGCCAACATTTGCTGCCATTTGCTTTCTTAGTGATGGACTCTTAAAACGGTTTTAAAAACATGTGTTGGCAATTTGTATGTCTTTTGAAAACTGTTGTTTATTAGCCTATCTGTTGACTGGATGATTTTTGCTCGGGATTTTTTGTTTTGTTTTGTTTTTTAACTTGAGGCATCTATAGTGGGGTCCCTGCAGGTGCCAGGTAGGACTGAACCACTGAAGAGATAAGAATGAAAACCCAAAGCGGACTGGCCCGTTGTCAACCTGGCCCAGACTTTGGGGACTCTAACGCCAGTCCATCATTGTCAGCATATTCCAAACACAGTGCAGTTTGGGGAGAGGGTTTCACGCAGCAGTCAGTCCAGTTCCAGGTACATGATAAAGCTTAAGATGTGACTCCGTAGAGATTCCCTTACAAAGTCCGTGTGACCGTGACGGTGGGTTCTGCAGCTAAAAGGCCTGGAATCTAGTGTGGTCTCTGACCCTCAGGCCTTAAAGTACATGTGACATCTCTCCTGAAGGTGGTTAATAGTCTTGGGAGAAAAGAGTCTGGAATAAGCATTCTGGAGAACTAGGGTGAGGTCTGCCTCTGTAGTAAAAGGTGGATAGGATGTTTCCACAGATAGCAAAAAGGTCACCAGGCCATTAACAAAATCCACCCTCAGCCTTCTGAATAGAATGCAGGTATTTGATTTTTTTTTTTTAATCTCCTCCATTGAGGGGACACCCCTTGCTGCATGATAAACACTCTTGGATCTCTTAGTGCTTGACCACAAGGACCTCTGTGTCCCAACAATTGTCCTACATGTTACTGTTGTGGTACGCATTATATACACAACATAACATTCATCATTGTAATTATTTAATGTTTTGTTAGCATGTATGGTGATGTCTACATGGTGAGTTCTAAATTATGTTATGACATTGCCATACACAGTACATTTTGATTCTATTTGATCGATCATTGTCTTCCACTTTAAGCATTTTTAATTCAGTGGCCTCGGTTATATTGTGGCGTAACGTTCTCATGTCTCCTGATTTTGAACAGATACTATATTCATTATGCACCAACTACTCCTTCCCCCTGTCCCCAGTGGATGGCTTTACTTTCTGTGTATAGTTGGGTTTGTCCACGGGCTGACTCTAGCCCTGGTGTCTAAAGCACTCAGATGCTCCGTCCCTCCCTCCGCAGGGAGCTTGGGAGTCTGCTATCTCAGAGTTCCGCCAGACTTCTGTTGGGTCTGGGTATATTGGTCTCTCACCTTCCTCCATCCTTCCACCTCGGCAGCAGGAGCTGGCCCCTTGCCTGCAGGCCCCAATGACTGCTCTCTGCTTCTTGTCTGCGTAGGCCGGTGATGAGTTTGTGGCGAAGACCATGAGCTGCCTTTCTACCAGCACCGACGCAGCCTCCGTGGTGCACAGCACAGACCTGGTGGTCGAGGCCATCGTGGAGAATCTCAAGTTGAAGAATGAACTTTTCCAGCGGCTAGACAAGTTTGCTGCAGAGTATGTGACTGACCTCGCTGTGCGGGTTCTGAAAGCTCCTTCTCTGGCTTTTGAGCTTCTCCCCCATTCTGATAGCAGACCCACCTCTCTGCTACCCAACACCTCTTGCAGAAAAACTGCTGGGTTCCCTTATCCCGTCCTGGTCCACATGAGGGGTATAGTTGCCAGTGGTTAAATGGAGTTATCTGTCCAGTGTCATGCTTCCTGCAACCACTAGGGGGCACAGACCTTTGTCTGCTGGGAGTCTAGAGTGCACCAGACAGAATTGTTTAATTGAAGGCAAAGTGCCTTTGAATATTCTTCACTACTCCTCTGTTTCCATTTTTATCTGGTTTAGTCATAACCCTCTGGGTGCTATTAAGTGAACACTGAGCCTTTACCAGGAATGTTAGCCACGTCTGAGGCATGAGGGAATTCCCAGGCTTGTGGTGGCCTCTGTTGTCAGTGAGATTGTGCATAGGTGAGGACGCTCAAGGGTCACAGCCTAGGGCCTGCAGTTATGTTTGACTCTTAGCTTTTGGCAGTTATGACAGCTTCCCAACTAATTGGCGTGTGCTTGGCCTATGACCTACTTGGCCACACTTCTCCCTTCTTGTTTAGACCTGAACAGTGGGGTAAGGGTCTATACAAAAGTCATTCTCAGGGAAACACTGGTGATCTGTGGCTGAAGAGCAACACTTGTGTATCGGCTTGCTGGGCTGTAAATCCTCGTCTGTATCACTGGGTGGCTGCCAGCCCCTGATTCTGAGCAGCATTCTGCTGGCCGTGCACATTTAGCTCTACAGAAACATGTGACAAAGAGGACACTTGTGGTACTGGGCTTGACTCCCAGGTCAGCACGGAGCCTGGCAAGGCAATCAAACCCCGCTGGTCTACAAAAAGTTGCCCTTCACTGTTCTCCTTAGGCAGTTTGGCCATGAGGCAAGGTTGCTCTGCGGCAGTGAAAGGCCCAGCGCCCCCTGGTGTCGGTGAAGGGAAATGAGAGGATGGGGAAGGTCACCACTGCCTTCCCGAACTGACCTTGGGATGTCCTAAGGTTTACAACCTGTGATTTAAGGGTTTTGAAGTAGAGAATTTCAGAGACGTTCCCAGTGCTAGCTTGGGTTTTAAATAGCCTGCCAGGGAGGTTGAGGATAGTGCCTTGAAAGCCAGCTCTCCTGACCTTAGAGATCTTTATTCTTTACTTGCCTACCCACTTCAGCCATCTCCCCACACTTACCAAAGCAGTGTCTTCTCAAGTCCAAGGCGATGCTTCCACCTCATAATCCTCCTGCCTCAGCCACCCATGTTCTGAGATTACAAGTGTATGTGTCCACTCTCAGGCTTGATATCTCCTTTCCTTTCTCTCTTTTCCAAAGTACTGATTTCCTTTCTCCCCCGCTGCTTTCTTTTTGTCTGCCTCTGAATTTGGACAGACTGTATCATTGCCTTTAGATAATCAGGAACCCTCAGAGAATCTGGCTGGGCCACTGTCAGCAGATCCAACTGGGCTAAAGGGCATCCTGCTGTTTTGTGAGTTACCCACAAGGTGGCGCTGCAGGAAAGCCTAGTCATCCAGCCGGAGGATTTGCCCCGATGCCCTTGGCACCTCTCACTTTATTCTGGTTTTAACAAGTTAACTTTTGAGAAAGCAGAAGAAGGAGAAAATAATTGGATTCAGTCGCAAGGCAGTATGATATTTCTAAGATTCTATACGTGTGAAATAAATAGTGCTTTTTCAGGCTGGCACAGTACTGTGAACATGGGTTATGTTTGCATCCACCCCCTCCCCCTCCCATGTTGTCTGTGTGAGTAAACTTCCCTTTGAGCATGTTCAAAGCAGTGTGTTTTCATTTTAATTCTTGTCTAATGACGAAGTTAAGGGTGTTCACTAGCTCAGCCGATTTTCTCTGAGGATTGTTTGTTTACACTTTTCTTTAGTCCAGTCTAAGTGTCTGGTCCATCCTTCCATTTCTCATGAGTCTGATGACTTCATTGTGTTAGGCTGGGTAGATCTTCCCCCCTCACCTATCCTGAAAATTAATACATGTGGACAAGAGAACTTTAGTTTCTAAAAATTCCGAAAAGCCTCATCACATATATGAGGCTGGTAACTTAATTTCAATGCAGGGGTTTTGTTGTTGTGTGTGGGTTTGTTTGTTTTTGTTTGTTGTTTTGTGTTTTTTTTTGTGTTTTTTTTTTTTTTTTTTGTTTTGTTTTTTTTTTTGAGACAGGGTTTCTCTGTAGCCCTGGCTGTCCTGGCACTCACTCTGTAGATCAGGCTGGCCTTGAACTCACAGAGATCCACCTGCCTCTGCCTCTCTAGTGCTGGGATCAAAGGCGTGAGCCTCCACCGTCCAGCTTTTTAAACTGTAGGGATCTAAATGAAAATGTAATCCTTGCTTTCAGCGTGGAGCTTGACTGCCTCACCAGGGTTCCCGCAGCTCTGCAATGAGCGCTGGCACACACTGTCCCCGTGCGCTGGGCTGATGCAGTGACAAGGATTTGACTGTGGGCACACACGCGACTCATTCTGATTCACTCTGCTTCTCCACCGTATTTTCTCTCCACAGACACACAGTCTTTTGCAGCAACACCTCTTCTCTGCAGATCACAAGCATAGCCAATTCCACCACCCGGCAAGACCGATTTGCTGGCCTGCACTTCTTCAACCCAGTCCCCATGATGAAGCTGGTGGAGGTCAGTGGGCCCCTGGTCCCTTGGTCCCCTGCGGTTTGCTCTCTGGTCTTGCTTTCTGAGTCACACCAGCCCTCCTGCTGGGCACTAGGTTGTATGAAATTCAACAGGAACTGGAAGGTCCCTTGTCCTAATTTGTCCTCTTCGGGACCAAAGGAAGAAAAAGCACCTACTATCTTGGAAGGCCCCTCTACTGTGTTTGTCCTTGACTTGCTTATGTCAACTGATGGCGGTGCTGACAGGGGAACCAGGCAGGGAGGGATGGACAGTAGGAGTCACAGGCGTGATGAGGGAGGCGAGACCTAAACACCCACCGTCACACCATCTTGCTGAGGTGGGCTTGCTCCTTGCTGGAGATGCAGTTCTTGTCTTCGCCCCTGGTGGGAATTCTGGTCCCATGCTGCAGTCCTTTAGCATTGTCTCAGGTGAGGTACATCTTTGTGCTGTGATCAGAGCTATTAAAAGGAGCTTCCTGCAGCCGGGAGCCTGCTGACCTCAAAGGCAAGAGGTAGAGGGAAGGGCCAGGCAGGACTTGCCTGTTTGGGCTGCATCTGCTCACTTGCTGGGAGATGGAGTCACTGTAGACAATTTGCACTTGAACAATTTGCACTTGAAATGTGGCAGCTTGCCCTTTAAAAGGGTTAATTACAGGGTCTCCGGGAGCGACTGCTATTAAAGCAGCATTTGGTCTGAGGTTGTGGAGTTATTGCCGTGCGAAGTGTGGGGGACGCTGCAGTGTGGAGCCAGCAAACCTCCAGACTCAGGCTGGAGTCCCTCTGGGAGTTGTTCATGCCCGCCTTCTCTCCCAGCCCTTTGCCGTGTTCCCCCCAACCCCCCACACGTGTGTGTCCCCCCCCCCCACCCTCAAGTGGCAGGTCCAATCTTCCTGCGGCAGGAACTCTCCTGTCCCATTGAAATTGTCCCTCTGTGTTCCAGACTGGTATTTAAAGAAGTAAGTTATGTCCTGGAGAGAGAGCTCAGTGGTTAGGAGTACTGGCTGCTCTTCCAAAGGAGGCGGCTTCGATTCCCAGCATGCACATGGCAGCTCACAGCTGTCTGTATACAATTCTAGTCCCATCCCTGACCTCTGTGGGTACACAGGCATATATTCAGGCCGAACACCCAAATACATAAAAACAAAGAATTACATTCTAGAAAAGGAAATGAGCAGTGGAAAGAAGAGGCATGGGGAACCATGGGAAGTAGAATGTAGCGGGTATTTGCCCATCTATGACCTCAGACTCTCTGGCCCAATGGGGGCGGTGCCTCTTGTCTGCAGATGTGACCTCTTAAAAAGAAAGGGAGACACGGTTGCGCTCTACAGTAGAAGATGCAATTTGCCCTTCTGCAGAAAGCAGTGTGTGTGTGTGTGTGTGTGTGTGTGTGTGTGTGTGTGTGTTCATTTCAACACTTGGCGATTCATTGGTTGCAGTTTCTAGCTTTTGCGGGTTTTGAGTCTGCAGATAGTATATATCCTGTAGAGTTACTGTAAAGAGCAAGAATCTCCCCCACTGCATCTTCTTGAGGGAGGTAGCACATTATAATGCTTAGCGACTAGCACCATTTTCTGAAACGTATTCTATGAAAGTGTTCCATTATATTGCGTATAGGTTTTTGTTTTTATTAGTTACATATGATCCTTTTTATTATATTCATCTCTGCCCTACCCCTCACAACTCCTCCCAGCCCCAGCTACCCTTCCCTGCCCTCCTAATTTTGTGTCTTTTTGTTTTGTTTTGCAAATGAAAGCCTTCAAGTGCACATACGGTTGGGTGCATGGCTTCCCACTGGAGCATAACTGACTTACCGGAGGCCACACCCTTAAAGAAAATCTACTCCCCAGCTCCCAGGCATTGCCACTAGTTCCTGGGCTAGGGGTGGGACTTCCTGGCCAACTCTTCTCCAGGCTAGGATTTTTGTGAGCTGTTGGTGAGCACACAAAATGGGGCGGTAGTGAGCCAAGGGGGCCTTCCCTTCCCTTGGAGCGGGACTTAGGTTGCCGTTTTGTCGAATGGAGTAACCTTGCATCTCTCCTGTCTACAAAACTCCCAGACCTCAGCCACTCACTCCTTTAAGCCAGCGGCTTGCCTTGAAGATCCAAGGCTGTCCGGCAGCCTTTGTCCTAGCCTGGATCTGACACAGGCCTCTTCAGGCTCCCTCAGAATCGTTTGAAGATGGTTGTTTCTGGCCCAGCTCTGTCTTCATCTCCATCTCTAGCTGCTTGTTTCTCTTGCCACCTTCCTGCAGCATTACACCTGCAGCTTCCTGCAGTGTTCCACACCACCGCTTGCGGCTGCGTGCCTTCTCCTGGGCTTCCGGTGGTGGCGTTATACCCTGTTGCCGCTGCAGGCTGTAGTGTGTGTCCCCTTGCGCTCCCCGGGGTGTCAGGGTGAGTTCTCTCTCTTACACTCCCTGCAGTGCCCTACCCCCATACCCGCTGCTGCGTGGGTTCATCTGTGCTTTTCATGCGGCTCCTTTCTCTCCCGCACACCTAGCTTGTTTAGCCAGATCTTACACTTCCAGTATCTTGATCCTCATTTCCTAGAGGGGATAGAGACACTGGCGAGGGTCTACTGTAGAAGCAAAGCCTCCTCATTATGAATCTAGTTGAAGTTCTTAACTGCCATTTAAAATATCTGTGTACATATGTGGTGCGTGTAATTCACCCTGGGTTCTCCATTTACCCAAAATTGAATTCCCCACAAGTGACTCCGAGAGCTATAATGTGAGACTTTGTGCTTGGTGCTGCCTCTTGTGGATTCCAGTGGGGTAGCAGCTGTGCCGTGGGTGCACTGAAAGGAAGGTCAGGAGGTCTGCCAGCACCTGTGGCAGCCCTTTGGGGGGTCTGATGGTTAAAATGAAAGCATCCCTCTCCGATGAACCCTCTTGAACTGTGGGGGAACTGTGAGCCAGGGCACACAGGTTGCTAATCTGGGAATCCAGATGGCTGTGGCTTGGGTACATCACACCTCATCTGCGGCAGTTGTGGGTTCCATGCAGAGAACCTTAAGAACAGCCACCACCCCGCCCCACCCAAGCCCCCCAATCGGCACCAGTTTCCACCCTGTAGCCATTAACAATGACAGGAAGCAGAGCTGGTGTTTCCGGGCTCTTTCTTCTACTAGGCACAATGCTTGGCGCTTCACCCCCGTTCTGAATTTCTTACAGTCCCTTGATGCAGACTTGATGCAGAGTGGTTTTAATGTCACATCATTTTCAAGAATCATGCCCAGTGAGTGTCCCGTGCAGCTGGGATTTGACTCTAAAACACCTGGCTCACAGTGCCTGAAAGACTCCCTCCCTGCCCCGCCCCCCAGCAACACATACTTGGCTCTTAACCCCTGGGTTTGTGCATTTTGCAGACTCCAGTGTCTAGCGTGGACATTTGGGTATGCCTACTATGCTAAAATAAAGATGTTTTTGTCAGCTGTGTAGACAGAGCCTTTGGCTCAGTGTCCTTGAACTAGTCTACTATTCTATAGAAGAACTATCCCACTGCGTCTCCGCCCTCTCCAGTCATAATTCCCTGCTTTTATTTCCAGATCATTAAAACACCGATGACTAGCCAGAAGACGTTCGAATCCCTGGTCGACTTTTGTAAAACCTTAGGAAAGCACCCTGTTTCTTGCAAGGTAAAGTGTGGGTTATGTTTTTGTCTGATTTCTGTTGCTATAGTAAAATACTCATGTCAGGGAATTATGAAGAAGGGGGGGAGTGTTATTCAGGTTGCAGTTCTAGAGCTTCGAGGGCATGATGCCAGTATCAGCTGAGCACCAGGGAAGGACCTTGTAGCTAAGTGGAGTCACGGAGGCCAGAGAACACTCAGGAGGAAGGAACACATCTTTGTCAGAGAGATGCTCGGGTCCGGTCGCTGGGAAGAACTCCATCCAGGAATGTCCCTTCTAAGACTCAAGCCTTCAGCCATCTAAGTATCTGTCTCTGGGGCCCATCTCTTAGAAGTTCTACTCCATCTTCCCAGACACCAGAGTTCCAACACATGAACCCTGGGGGCAGAGTGTCGGTAGCCTGGGAGAGAGGTGACTTTATGTGGGCATGCTGCTCAGAGAACACTGCTAACAGACAGTGTGAGCCATGGGCCCTGTTGACAGCAGGCCTCTCCGTGTCCTGGAAGAGGGGTCAGCCCATGCCTCTGTTCCAGTTTGTAGGCCAGGAAACCTGACCCCTAAGCCAAGCCCCATACCACCATATGTGTAGTCTGAGAGAAGGGAGCCTTTAGTTCAGTTAAACAGAGGACTCAGGAGCCTCTTGATGAGCAGCTGTGTTTATAAAAGGTTTCTGTGGTCCCATCAGCTTCAACCATTTCTGTCCCTGGGGAATTGGAAGCCCATGCATCAAGTCCAGTCTGGTGGACATAATGCCCCAGCAGAAAGGAGGGGATTTTGGAATAAACACTGCAGAGTTACAGGGTGCTGAGGCAGGGGAGACTAACCTGGCCAAGAGGCAGCGAGGAGGTTTTCCTCAGTGGCGTGTGGAGTTTTTGCTGTCAGAAAGCAAACTTGACCTCCATAGACCCCAAGCCCCCACCCCCAATCCTCTGTTTTGTTTTTTTTGTTTTTGAGACAGGGTTTCTCTGTGTAGCCCAGGCTGTCCTGGAACTCGCTCTGCAGACCAGGCTGTCCTTGAACTCACAGAGATCCTCCTGCCTCTGCCTCCTGAGTGCTGGGATTAAATGTGTGCGCCACCACTGCCCTGCCGTAGTTATCCTTTGTTCTTTGAACAAGCCATCTGGTAGTATAGGCTCCGGTGGCTAAAGAGGTGACTCGCGTTAGGAAGTAGTGTAATTAGTCTCATTAAAAAAAAATTTTTTTTTCGTTCTTTTAGTCACACTGGTGGCTGTTATGCTTGCTTGTACTCTCCTGCTACTGATTCTCTATTAAGTGGAGAACATAGTAATGATAGTAGCATATCAGCATAAGAAGGTAGTGGTTGGTTAGGGTGGGTGGGAATGCTCCAGGCTGGGGTTCTCCTGGACTCCTTGACCAGTAAGTCGCAGAGTGCGCTCATTCTTCAGTGCAGGGGCAGACCACCTCAGGCTGGGGTGGTCTCCTCAGAGAGAACCTCTGTGTGTGACATCCTGGAGACGACCTGTCCGGGTCAGTCAAGCTCTTGAGGAGGGTTTCCCTATATATGCCAGCCGCATAGAACGAGGATCACAAATGCTTTTGTAAAAGGCGGTAGATAGAGCTATGTGCTGTGGGACGGATTCCTCTTAGGGACAGATGGCCTATGTATAGTGGCCTCATAAGGTAGAACTGAGAAAGCCCCCAGGGCAGTTGCAGCCATCCTAAAGCTGCGCAGTGTGTTCCAAGCTTCTGGTAATGCTAGGGGACCTACAGTAATACTTGAAAATACACAGTGATGTCACTGGTTTACGTGTTTATCACAACACGCTTTTTAATGCCTTCTAATTTTTGTTTAAAGAAGCATAGGCCAGCTTCATACAGCTCTTAGGTGCTCTTGCTGGAGGAAAAACTAACTTCTGTCTGGAGCAGGTTGACATGCAGTGTGCGTGCTCACTTTGTGTTTGCTGTGTGCACTGCACTCCGGTACTCTCTGCTGAACCCAACGGTAAACCTGACCCTGAAGGATATATTTTGGCTGTTAACAGCACCATGTCATTAGTACCATCTTGGCCAAGTTGCTAGAACTGCTGGGCATGCGCACCCTGCAGCGGCCTGCTGGGCATGCGCACCCTGCAGCGGCCTGCTGGGCATGCGCACCCTGCAGCGGCCTTGCTGTCGGTGTGCAGGAGTGAAAGGGCATTTGGATCCTATTGCCGTGATGGTTGGTTTGTGTAGGGTGCAGTCGGGTTAGCTCTAGACAAACTGAGCTGACCTGGGGTGGCTCCGGAGAACCTGGGGAATGCTGCGCTTTGGAGGCCTGTTTAAGAATGGAGTGAGGGAATATTGCTGTATAAGCTAGAGTAAGGAACTTCACAGCACATTTTAAAAATGTGAATGGCAGCACAATCCAGGGTAAGGAGTGGTCTATGCTAAACGGAAGGCCGAAGTAATGAGGTCATTGTCTTCTTCTCTCTCCTCCCCCGAAACAGGACACTCCTGGATTTATCGTGAACCGTCTCTTGGTGCCATACCTCATAGAGGCCATCAGGCTACACGAGCGAGGTACCTGTCCCAGGCCAGGCTAAGGCCCTCGGGTCTCAGTCTGTGTGTGGGAAGGCTTGGGCCATGCAGAACCTGGGAAGGGAGTTTCTGCTTTCTTGTTCTGCTGGACTAAGCTCAGCTTTGCCCCGGCCCTAGTACCGTTGTCACTGGCTTCCCAGGGTCACAGACCTCCCTGGGGGAGTCCGTGACAGTCCAGGCTGCAGCATTGGCTTCGATGGTGCAGATCTAGATCCTGGATCGCCACTTTTAGTTAAAAGTTTACTACTTGGGGGTGATGGAGAGACGACTCAGCTGGGTCCAAGGTCGATTCCCAGCATCCGTGCTGGGCAGCTCACACACACCTGTAACTCCAGCTCCAATCCACTTCTCAGCCTGGGCACGCATGCATGCGTGATGCCTGTTACATACACTCATACACATACACACATATGCAGACATGCCACTCATACACAAGCTTGCATGGTGCATGTTATGCATACAGAAACACCCACATATGCACAAATGTATGTGCAATAAACACCACAAATAATGAGGGTTTACTGCTTTCAAAATGATAGTTATGGAAAAATAACCAGACTAGAAGTTGTTTAAAGTTCTTTAATGTAGAAAATCTGTAACTGTGTGACAGGAGATGGGAAATGAATGACAGGATTGATGAACATTAGGGAGGGACATTGTCCTTATTGGAAAAAAGTCATGAAGTGCTGCGTTACATCTCATGAGTGATGTAAAATGTCGCCTTCTCTTAAAAAATTATTTATTTGTGTGTGTGTGTGTGTGTGTGTGTGTGTGTGTGTGTGTGTGGTTTTTCTCTGTGTAACAGCCCTGGCCATCCTGGAACTCACTCTGTAGACTGGCCTCAAACTCTCAAAGATCCACCTGCCTCCGCCTCCTTAGTGCTGAGATAAAAGGCTTACGCCACTATGTCTACCACCGTGGCAAACACTTTTACCTGCTGAGCTATCACCTGGACCCAAAATGTCCTCTTCTAGTTGAGAAAGAATGACGTTGTCCACTGTAGAAACGTAAGCCTCATGATGTGGTCCATGGTTAGATGGGCACACACCCCCATGCCTGACTTCTTTCCCATTTCTGAGGACAGTGTGTGATGTCTCCTCTCCATGCCAACAAGCTGTACAGGGTAAAACACAAGTACGAGCATTTCTTTGAGTGACTTCATTTACAAATACTCTCAAGAATGCTATTCCCTAAACAAAGCATTTACACAGCTCCTTCCAGCACATAAAAGCGCATTTGCCTCCTCAAAATTGCCTTTAAATATTAAACTTGCCTCTGCTTTATGGAAGCAGTTGCCTACTTTTACTTCAAGATCAAACCAACACTTCTAGGTTTATCCTCAACAAATGCGCCTAATTACACCTCAAAGAAAGTGTGTGGCATTTTGGCCTACCTTGAAAGACATCCATGTTTTGTTTTTCTCTCTCTCTCTCTAATAAATGCAATGTTTCAGAATGTAGCACCTTTTCATAGTTTTTCTTTCCCCCTCTGTAACTGGCTGTCCTCTGATACCACCCCCGTGTGCCAAGTATCTGATGTTAAGTTGGAAACTATTTTCTTCATTTTATTGCCCCTCGTCCTCACCTTTACGGTGTACCAGGAGAGGCAGGACCTGGCCCCCAGGGCATGCTCTCAGTTTGCTCTTGGTGATTCTCTGGGTGGCCTGTCATTGCTGGTCCTGTGGCCTCTCTTTGTAGCTGCATCCTGTGACGGAGCATTTGTCCACCCTGGAGTTGCTAAGTGTCATGTTGGGTCGGGTTTGCAACATTTCACACTGTGGTCTGGATTCCAGGCCTCTTCTAGTGTCCCTTCAACCGCTCACCTAGCCAACACCAAAGTGTGCTTAGCTGTGTGCGCAGACCCTGGTCTCTATTCACTGGTTCTGTGTCTCCACTGAAGACTCTAGGCCCACCCAGTCTCACTTGCCATTTGTTACCTTTGATACCTCCCTGCTATCTCTGTCCCTCTCTCTCCCAGCCCTAGCTCCTGCCAGGCCACTATAATGAGGCTCAGGCAGGCGGACACCCTGGTTACTGCTGTCTTTCTTAGGTCTGTCCCCTCCACTCTGCTTGCTAAAAAGGTGTTGTATTGCCAAGAAAACCGGTCCGTTTCTGTCCGTGCACCTGTTGGGGCCTAGTCTCAGCCTGTGCTCTGACTTTCTTAGCTCCTTGGGGGAGAATTTTTCTGACCTATGCTATTGACACACCGTGTGTGTGTGTGTGTGTGTGTGTGTGTGTGTGTGTGTGTGTGTGTGTGTGGTCTGGAAGGATGTGTGGGAGACAGTTTGGTCAAGGCTTCAGAGAGCCCAGCAGCTGCCGATAGGCCATGAGTGTCCACCACACTTCTCACACCCTGTGTAGAAAGAATCTCATGGAGGCTCACTGTGTTTCTGACCTCTGACCTCTGACAGCTTCCTGTGGTAGACCTTCTCCATGTCTCTCACAGCTGAGTGCTGTCCATTGCTTGCTTCATTCCTTCAGACTTGGTGGAGGCTGGATGGGTGCATTGTCCTAACTCTGAGGGTCACGGCGGTGTAGGTTTGGGAACTTACAGACCCTGTCACGTGCTCACTCAGCTCCAGCAGGGTGGCCAGAGCACATGGTTAGCTCCTCTTAGCAGGGTTATGCTGTAATATCCTGGGGATGTCATAAGCTTACCCTCTAGTCACGATAAGATGTCCTATTCAGTCACAAAAAGTCCCCAACGCCACACTCCCTACCACATCATGGCTCAAATGCAGCGGTTCTCTGGTAACTTGTATACTAAGTCTTCCTCCTCACCCTCAGACTCTGCCATTATCTCCACATACCCCACTCCATCTTCCCCACACAGCCCTACCTGCTGTCCCTGAGGTCCAGGCTGGGCATAATCTGCCTTTACTTTTAGCTTTGGCTCTCTTGGGTCATTTGCCACTCTTCCCTGTGGCGTGACACATCTGACTTCTCCAGCTGTCCTCCCTCCTGGGGGCATGGTTGGAGTCCTCCTCTTCATGCCTCTCACAGCTCCCGCCAGACAGGGTGAGGATTCAGCCATCAGTCCACAAGTAGTGCTGTCCACACAGACAATGCCTTGGAGTAGGCGTTTCAGCTGGTAATGTTAAGACTGGCCGGCAGGTGGCGCCAGAGACCAACTCAGCTATGGCAGCAGGTCCCAGGTTTGGGGGTTCTCAGAGGAAGAGACTCCTCATTATCCTGCGTTAAGGGCTCTGTATTGGGGTGGGGGGTGTAGAAAAAGTGAAGCAGAGCTTTGTGGTGTGTGTGTGTGTGTGTGTGTGTGTGTGTGTGTTCTCGTTCAGTATTTCCTAAACTCTTGTAGTATCCAGTACTTAAACATATTGTGCATGTTGCTTTTTTTTGTCTTTTTCTCTTTGCCTGTTTACTGATTTACTTAAGAAAGAATTGTTTCTAGAGTTCTGCTAACTTTTCAGATGCGTGTTTTTTCTTTCTTTCTTTCTTTCTTTCTTTCTTTTAAACAGTGCTTTGTACTTCCAGTAATTTTGGAAGCACAGTAATAACCAAGTGCGGGTCTGAAATGGGAATTATAGCCTTGTCTTTTAGGGCCCATAGTCTTTGACTTGGATTTGATCAAATGGCTTTAGGTTAAGTTAGATGCTGTTAGATTTGTCCCCAGGCTGTGTGCGTTCTTTGGAGAGGACACTGCCTGGATCAGTGAGCCATTGGTAAGGCTCTGACCAACAGCTGTGAAGACTCGCAGAGGTGAGGGTGCCCTGGCTCCCAGTCTTGGCAGCTCTTGTTTCACAGACTGATGTAGAGGCTCTGATTGGCACCGCCCGAGCAGAAGCCTGAAGGAAGGGAGTGGTTGAGACCTGAAGGTATAGGAAGGCTTACTGACCCAGGGCACAGCATGGAGGGAGGGTCCTGGGCTGGAGCCTCTCAGGGCTCTGGCATCTGGAGGCAGCTGTAGCATCATGGACGCCTCAGTGTGCACATCCCGAACGATGTGTGGAGTCAGAGCCCAGCTACATGTGCCATCTCATGTCCTCTGCTGTAGTTTGTCTATGGTGCCGCTCAAGCTCTCTTTGGAGATTCTCTTCATCCTTCAGAACCAGGGCTTCGGGTGGGGGTGGCGCTGGTTAGGATGCTGCGATGGTGTTGCATCTACTCCTTCTCCCCATTAAGTCACCACTGCCTGGCTTTGCTGCTGTCTCTAGTGCCCAGTAGGTAATAGATACCAATATGGAGCAAAGCAGGGCTGAAGATAGAGCTCTCTGGTAGAACGATTGCTTAGCATGCTTGAGACCCTGGGTTTGACTCCCCACCCTGCCACGGGACCAGGAGGGAGGATGGGGGTGTGAGGCCGCCTGATGAGATGCATATGACCATTTTCACTTTCTTACTATGTAAAATTCCAAGTGTGATTTCCCAGATGCCTCTAATCCTAATTTTTAAAAGATTTTTTTTTTTTTTTAAGTGCGTGAGTGTTCTGCTGACATGTATGCCTGTACACCAGGTGTGTGTCTGGTGCCCACACAGGTCAGGCAAAAGTGTCAAATCCCCTGGGAGTGGAGTTACAGAAGGTTTTGAGCTGTCATGTGGTTGATAGGTCCTGGACAAGAGCAATGATTTCTCTTAACTATTGAGTACTCTACGGCAGCCCCTCAAATCTTAATTATGATTATACTGGTGCTCCTACTAGGATTATACTAGTATACGCTTTATACTAAATCCTTAATATCACTCAAAGAAAATAAGAGTGGCTTTTTTCATTTCTCTCTCTCTCTCTCTCTCTCTCTCTCTCTCTCTCTCTCTCTCTCTGTGTGTGTGTGTGTGCGCGCGCGCGCGCGCGCGTCCCACTTGGTGGTCCAGGCTGGCTTGGAACTCACTGTTCACTTCCCTTCACCTCCCAGCTGCTGGGATTTCAGGCATATGCCACTGTGCTCAGTATTGTGATCACCTTAGATGGCACTGACATCCTCTGGCATTCTTTTAGTACTTTGTGTGTTTTTGGGAAATGTGATAGTATGACTTGGAAGTGTTTATTGTTGAGGAAGGGCCCAGTTGAGGTGTCTGATGTTTCTAGGTATGGAAATCACTGTTTTAGCACTTCATTTAGCTCTGGTAATTATTGACCACTGCTTTATGCTTTGAAGAAAAATTCTAGATAGATAGCCATGTCATACAGGTGGTTCCCATCTCTGATACTGGAGGCAGAATGGTTGCTTTCCATAAGGCCATCAACAGGATGGCATAGGGAGAAGTCTAAAGGAAAAGCCCAGAACCCCCATCCTCAGGTACTCAACACAGCACAGTGGTTCTACCTTACCTGAAGCTATTTAATCAAACCCATCCTCTAGACCCAGTGAACGCTAAGCACAAGATCACTTCCTGGTTCAGACTCACTGGACAGCTGCTGTACCCCTTAGAATACCAGGAAGGAGCTTGGCATTGTAGATGAGTGCCTATACACTGCTACCAACTGAGCATGGCTTTGCAAGCCATTCTCATTAGTGCAGAACAAACGGTACATCATAGTTCTAGCTGTTTGGACTTTCTTTAAGTGGGTGGCTTAACTGTGTGAGCCCAGGCCCAGCGGAATGCTCGTTGTGAAAAAAAATAAAATAAAATAAAAATACACATGTAACACATAAACAGAAACCTAAGCTTGTGTGCATGCTCAAGTTTGTATGTGTGAATGTATGTCTGTGCATATGTGTATACATGTGTGTGCATGCATGTGTGTAAGTGTGAAGCACATTTGTAAAAGAAAACTCTAGTATCAAATGATATGTTTTGTAAATGGCTCTGGACTTGAGAAATCCCATGCTGTTACGGGTCCAGTGTTCCCAGGACTGTGCTGTTCACTCTGAACTGGGCAGCAGGGTCTGGAGGTCTCCTCATCTAGGGCAGTTGGTTTAAAAAGCTTATGACCTTTGTGGCATGTGATCTGAGAAAAAAACCTTACCCACCCCAGGAACATGGGCTTCTATACATTTTTTGGATGTATGTGTCTATACAATTGTAGTGATTCTAGAACTGAGCCAGGCATGGGAAGAGTTGGAGGAAGGTGGTGGTGACTCAGGGCTGCCCTTTACAGGTGACGCATCTAAGGAGGACATTGATACTGCGATGAAGTTGGGAGCTGGGTACCCCATGGGTCCATTTGAGCTGCTTGACTATGTTGGGTTGGATACTACGAAGTTCATCTTGGATGGTAGGAATTAAAACCTCTTCTTTCTTTTTAAAAACTGGGCTTAATTGGTCTCTTAGAATTATAAATCATAATGTCAATTAAGAAAAATTACAAGGAATCTTAAGAGTTTCAAAGTTCTGGCTTACCAAATCCATTTTGTGTTACTATAACCACATGCCTGAGGTAGGATACTTTAGAAAGAAGGAAAGAAAGGAAGGAAGAAAGAAAGAAAGAAAGGAAGGAAGGAAGGAAGAAGTTGTGTGGCTCTTGTTTCTGATAGCTGGAGATGCTCCAAATGACAAGATAGTCCTGTTGTGGCAGAGGCTAAAAAGCAAAACAGCTATGTGCAGAAAGGTCTACAGTGTGGGTATGGGATGTCCTGGTTTGTAATTGTCCACTTCCTCAAGAAGTAATCTAGTCACTAGATTTGACCCTGAGAAAACTGTAAGTTCACTTGTGTGGGTAGAGTCCTGTAAGTACCTTTCCAGGCCCTACAACTTGAAGAAGGTTCCACTGTTTTCCACACTGCCACCCTGGGAATCCTCAGCCTTTGGGAGAAGAAAGCAGGTCCAGCCATAGCAGCAAATTAGAGATCCGCCCAGATGGCAGGAGGAGGGAGATGGCCCATTGTTGCTTAACAGGACAACTGTCTGTAACCTTTCATTTGGATATAATTATAGATCATAGGTGTTTCTAGTAGAACTCAGGTCCTGTGAGCCCTTCATTCAATTCCCCAACAGGCGTATCTTAAATAACCACACTACAAAATGAAAGTCAGGACATTGTCAGGGGTATGCTGCCATGCTATTACAATCTGATTTGTGTTACCTCCACTGAAATCAAGCTATTCAGACTGCTTTTAAAGGGAGTGGTTTGAGAGACAGCATAAAATAATTATTAAGCTGGATGAATGATGAACTTCTGAAGTCAATGTAGCATACTACTCCAGCATTCATCAAAACCCTTTAAATGTTGGGGAGAGAAGGGTCTTAGTTGACAAAGGGAATCTGAAATTGTGTAGGACTAAGAAATACTGGTGGGAGCAATCCAGGACTTAACATGGATCTTCACAGCTAAGTGTCCCACTTGGGAATCCAGCTGCTAATGGCAGATTCTATTTGTGCTCTTGGGCAATTGCCTTGGTTTGCAGAAAGTCCTGGGTAGCAAGGCATCCTGCAATGGAGCTAGGCTTCTAGCAGCACAGGCAAATAGTGGTAAGCACACTTTAGGGTCAGTGTTGGCTACACCAGCGAAGCTGGCCTTATGTCTCTGCCATGGTGGCCTGCATGGGTCCTGTGCCCCAGGATTGCCCTGAGAATGTCAAACCAAAGTGAGCCCTTGTCCTTCCTCTCAACAGGGTGGCATGAAATGGACCCAGAGAACCCCCTCTTCCAGCCCAGTCCTTCCATGAATAATCTGGTTGCCCAGAAGAAGCTGGGCAAGAAGACCGGAGAAGGATTTTACAAATATAAATGATGCTTCATGAGTCCATCGGGGAGCACCCAGCCAGCCATGGGGCAAGGATGAGCGCACTCTGGGCGGTGCTTGCAAGCAAGGCTTGCTGCAGGCTGCCCGGTGGGCCCTCCCTTGCAGTCTCTCTGAAGCAACCATCTGACTAGTTGCAGTAATAAGATTCCTCCACTGAGATCTGATTCTCTGCTTTTGTCTGTTTGCTTCTGTGTGTTTTTTCTGTGCCTTGGGGCAAGCATCTTTTTTCTGAACCTTGCTGGTTTTTATAAAAGCATTACTTAGACTCATTCACTCAGGTCTTCTGGAAATGAATATGCCACGTTAATCGGTGTTGAACCCAGGGGGTAGGAACCATCGTGCCTACAGGTGCATCTAAGGGCGGCAGCCTGCACCTGAGGCCTTGCCTGCCTGGGAACATTTGCAGCCTGCAGCCTCAAACCTTACCCTACGTTCTGGGCACCGCCTTCGTTTACTTCTCATCTGGACAGGGCTCCTGGAGTGGCGGTGTAGTGCCTGTGACCTTGGTTTCTGGGAAAAGGCCCATCTTTGTGGCCATTCAAATCTTAACCATCACTGTCCAGCTCTCGTTTTTTTTTTTTTTTTTTTTTTTTTTTGTTTTTTGTTTTGTTTTTTCATGAGAAATCAGTGCTACAAAGTGCCTATGAATTGACTACAATGCAATCTTTTACTCTGTAAAAATTGGGATGGAAATAAATAAACTGACATAACGTAGAATCGTAAGATGCTTGAGTAATTATAAAAACGGCCCATCCTCTCTGACGTCTAACTGGTTCTGAAGTGGCAGCATGGGAGGGAATGGTGGGGGGGGGGGATTAGTATGAATCCCGTGTCTGCCCCTTCCATGATTCTTAGCAGTAAAATAGAAAGGTGGTTTTTAAGAGCATCTGTTTCTTCCTTGCCAACAAAGTAAAATAACACAACGTAAGAGTCACTGGGTTGACGGAGTGCCTCCCGGGATTGAGTGTGGGCCTAGAAAGCCCCCAGGAGCCCTGAGGTCCAGCAGCTTCATTAGTTGGGGGGGGGGGTGAAGGGAGGTTCGGTGATATGTCCAAGGCCATCAGACGTTTAGTAGCAGATTTTGGATTAGGTTTAGACTTTAGATGACAAGTGCAAAAGAATAAATCTGGAAATCTCAAATGTAACTTTCGGACAGAACATTCCCCAAACAAGTGGAGGTCCTTGTTATCTCAGGCCATAGTTGTGTCAGGATATTTTTGGCTTAGTTTTTTCTTCCCCCCCCCCCCAGTTAGTGATTGGTAAGAGGGAAATTATTCATTTAAAATGCCCTGAGTGTCACAGGGAGAAAGTGCACACATGTATGCCTGTGTGCACACATTGGGACCTGATGTGTTGATGCTGTTCTTATACAGTGCCCGGTTCCCGAGAGGGTGGCTGCTGTGCACCCCAAATCTCACCCCGTTTCTAGGTCATCTGTGGCCTCATAGCCTGCTTATTCTCAGGCTAGCTCTTGACCTTTTCTGTGACCCCTGGCCCACAGACTTCAGTTTGTCACCCTCTAACCAGAGTCAACAGAGGATGTGGGCACTCATCCTGAAAATGGCCCAGCTCTTTCTTAACCACTAAGTTTCAGGAAAGAGCAAGAACTCGGTGGTGCAACCGTCAGTTCCCAGGGTGGGAAAGGACACAACACTGTTCCTAGATGGCATCTTCAAATGCGCTTTGACCCTGCCAGATGCTCAGGAGGCCCAGCCTCTCAACTCCTTTGCCATCTTACACCCGGGGGCTGCAGGGTGGCTTCTGGAACCTTGTCCTTTTCTCCAAGTTGGCACTTGGGGAGTGGCCTCCTGTCCCCTTCCATGGCTCTGTGATCCCAGGTGGGAAGGAAAGTCCCATAGTCAGGGCTTTTGAAATCTGCCTGAAAACCAAACCTTAGTAATAAGGTTCCCATCCCTTGGGCTGTCTTACCTAGTTTTTAGTCACCCTCATGGGGGACCAGCCTCAGCTTCTAAAGTCGCCTCCTAATGGCAGCATGAACCTTTTATAGCACGGAAAGTCAACACCAGGGTTTAAGTAAAAAAAAAGAAAAAAGACACCATCACCAACAAAACGCTCCCCCACCACTTCGTGTGTGATTAATTCCTCTAATATAAGTGAACATTTCAAAGGAAATTCTTGATTATTTTGAAATGTTACAGAACAAAACCTATGGCTCTTTAATACCCATAAATTTACTGTTATTGTTAATAACAGCAACTAAGGGGAAAAACATCGCTTAACTTGCTGACGCCAAGTTTGAAATCTGTTTCTAGGGAACCACTGATTGATGTAGCTCGAGGTCACGTGGAAGCAGCTGCTGACACTGAGAAATGCTGGTGTCGGTCAAGTGTGGAATGGCACATGCCGGCAATCCCTGCCATTGGGAGGTCGAGGCAGGAGGATTGTGAGTTTGAGATCAGTCTGGGCCACAAAGCCAGACACTACACCCTACAAAGCCACTCAGAACATGTTATAAAGGGATTTGTCACTGAATTCTGCCAGGCAGCTAAGTCTGGCTAATGCCAGACTTCAGAAACTCATTTGAGATTGGGCTGTTCATCACTGGAGACAGTTAAACCAGCATGTGAGCGGTGGGTTACACAACAGCGCAGGCTGGTTATGCTTCCCCTCCGGTGTGTTAAGGGGTTCATACACGTGACACAGGCTTTTGTCTTGTCCCACCTTAATTTTAATCCCCTTAACATTTCAACCTAAATCTGTTTAAAAAAAAAAAAAAATCTGAGGTGTGGCACTAACTCCCTGGGACTAATTTTCTTGTTAACGACGTAAATAGTAATCTAAAAATACTTGGGCAGCGGGATCCTTGCTGTGCTCCCTCCCCATCCCCCACCTGGAGCCAGAGCCTCACATGTCCCAGGCTGGTCTCAAACTTCTGTGGGGCCCAGGATAACTTTCAACATCTGGTCCTCTTGAGTGCTGGGGATCAGACCCAGGACATACGGTGTACCAGGCAGGCAGTCCTGGCAACTCAACTATACCCTCAGCCCTCATCACCGCACTCTCTAAACCATACGTGGAAAGAATCCATTTGGTCTTTTGAGTTCTATTTTTTTCAATTGATCTAGAAGTTTCATAATCACAGGTTCCCGACCCCCATTCGTTTTGTCACTTTTTGCTTTGCTACCTTGTTGAGGTGACAAAGCAAGGTTTAACCACTGGACACAGAATGCCGTCGATGGCACTAATGTTGGGTTGCATTTCCACCCACCAGTTGTAGCTGCTGTGAGTTCTCTTCCCGCCCTGGGCTTTGGAAGGAGCCAGCCGGGCTGAGGTCTCCAGCCTCTTTCTTTGCCTGAGTAACCCGGAGAGGCTCTTGTCTGGATCTATATTTCTGGTAAGATGGACAGCGTTGGAACCTGTCCTTGGAGATGCTGATGACCAGACCTCAAGCTGAAGGATGTTGCGCGTCTTGTGGAGTGCAGAGAGGCTATCTGGAGAGGGAGCCCTGGGGTTACCACAGCCCTGAGAACTTTATACTTAGAGAAACGAGCTTCAGTCTGGGGACAGGTCTGAGTGTCAGCTACTGGCTCACATTGCACTCCCACAGCTAACAGGGAAGGGCTTTCCAAGTCTTCTGAGGGGTGGTGGATCAGGGAGGTGACAAACTTCGGTGAGCAGGAGGAGTGCCTGTCATTTAGGTCACTGACATTTTCTGTATAAGTAGTAGACCAGATTATTTAGACCTCAGAGGAAAGGCAGGGGCTTTCTCGACAGGTTGGAAATGCAAGGGAATGAGGTAGTACACGAACTTTATCCTGTTGTATTGTGGTTTTATTTCTTAAAAAGTTTTCAATGTAGATCTTTAATCCCAGCCCTTGGGAGGCAGAGGCAGGTGGATCTCTGTGAGTTTGAGACCAGCCTGGTCTACAGAGCAAGTTCCAGGGCAGGCTCCAAAGCTAAACAGAGAAACCCTGCCTCAGGAAAACAAAAGAAAGAATTCTAATGTATCTTACGTGTTTGAGTACTTTGCCTGCATGTATCTCTGCACTGTGTGTGTACTGTGCCTGCAGAGGCAGGGAGAGAGCGCCATACCCTTGCATTTGGATTTACAGATGGTTGTGAACCACCATGTCGGGGCTCAGAATCAAACTTGGGTCTTTTGCAAGAAAAGCCATTGCTCTTAACACCGGGCGATATTTCTACTCCTGAACCCTATATTGTGGTTTCAAATAACACTGGATGAGCTGCTAAGTGTTTCATGGTATTGGAAGGGAGTGAGTTCCCACTAGGCAAGAGGGGGAAGATGTCTGTACTCGCTGGGGCTGATGTTGGCTCATCTTTTAGGGGGCATTTGAGACTGTAACTGCCTGAAATAGGAGCCCATGTATGGAAGGAATACCATCCCTTCAGGTCAGGTGGTGGTGCAGACCTTTTGGGTCCTCAAAGACTGTGGGGTCTAGATGCTGTCTCCAGGTCTTGATACGATGTCTCAATCTCATTCTGTAGGTGCCCATACTGGGACATCCTACCAAAATCATGCCTGTTCGGGGGTGAACAGGCATTGTTAGGGAAAACCTCTAGTAACTGCCTCATGGTCCTCGCAGAAATAGCCATTGACTCAGGATTGCCAGGTAGAGGAAGTAAAACAAAACCAGGAGTCTCTAGACTTGAGGTTTGGGTGAATGAACTGCAGCCTCACTGGGGATCCAGAGCCCTCAACCTCCATCGTAAGCCGTGGGGAGGCAGGCTGCAGAGACACGCTTCTTCTGCCAGCTGACTTGCAATAGGACCAAAGAGACAGAATACAGAGGCAGTTGACCAGTGTTACAGTGTCCACTGCAGGTAGAGACTTCAGTTTACAGACATGCCCATGGCATTGGAAGGCCAGCTGCTCTTTGGCACATGGCCTCACCGTGGATCATTGACCTGATGTCTGCAAGAGTCATAGGCCTAAGGGAAGTTCACTAGGACTTACAACTTTAGATTTACTTGTTGCTGAGAAAGCGTCTTCCTGTGTAGCCCTGGCTGGCTTCCAATCCTACGGCTAGCCTTGAACTTTGGACGGCCTTCCTGACTTTCCCTCCTGAGGTGCTGGGATTGCTGTAAGCCAGCACCTCTGGCTTATGTGCCCCTTAAGTCTTGGGTGGGCACACTTGTGCTGGGGGTGGTGCAATGCTTGGCACCTGTGTATTAAAATCAAAAGAATCCCAAATGTGGAAGTCAGAGGTGGCAACATTGTTCACTGCTCACTGGTGTGATCTGCGATTAGCAGCTTCCTCCTTTCCTGAGACTCTGTATGTACCACAGTGTTTCTGTAACACCTCACATCCCGAACCTCTACTGGCTGAAGACCTCATCATCCAATCTGCAATGCTGTTCTATGAAGGGGAGGGAGGAAAAGGAGGAGGGAGGGAGGAAGGGAGGGAGGGAGGGAGAGAGAGAGAGAGAGAGAGAGAGAGAGAGAGAGAGAGAGAGAGAGAATGAATTAAAAGAATCATTGTGAGAAAGCCTGAGGTTAAAAGTGAGGGGCTGGAGAAATGGCTTAGTTGTTTAAGAGCATGTAGTCTTACAGAGAACCCATGTTAGTTCCCAGCACTTATGTAAGCGCTTTGTCAGGCCCATACTACCCATAACTCCAGCTCCAGGAGACACCATCTACTAGCTTCCATTGGACATTGCATACATACATGGATACAAATCCACACACATTCATGCTTAATTTTAAAAAAGTCTTTAACCATAGTCCCAGTTGCCAAGTGCTTCATGGAGAGTAAGGAAAGTGGCTTCTGCAAGGGCCATCTAGTAAGAGTGATCTAGTAAGGTTTCTAGACTAGAAACCGAGGGACAGACAGCCCCAGCTAACTGGAAGCCAAGGAAGTCAGCAGGGATAACCTATGTGGGCCAGATGCCAGGAGGTGCCAAGAAAAATAATGTCATCCACAAGTTACCACTAGACCTTGTTAAGCCCCCCAGGTGAACTCCACACAGACCTTGTCTTATGAGGTATACAAGTTGGGCAAGCCAGACCTGGGAACCTGTGGTGGTTAGAAAGAAAATGACCCACAAAGGGAGTAGCGCTATTAGAAAGTGTGGCCTTGTTGGAGTAGGTGTGGTCTTCTTGGAGGAAGCGTGTCACTGTGGAGGCAGGCTTTGAGGTCTCATATATGCTCAAGCCATGTCCAGTGAGACAGTCCACTTCCTGTTGTCTACAAAATGTAAAACCATGTCTGCCCGCATACTGACACATCCCACCACGATGACAATCCTGGACTGAACCTCTAAAACCGCAAGCTGCCACCTCAATTAAATGCTTTCCTTTGTAAGAGTTGCCATGGTCATGGTGTCTCTTCACAGCAACCCTAGCTAAGACAGAAGTCCAAAGGAAAGCCTATGGTGCTGGAGAGACAGCGCCTGGTCAAGAGTCCTTGCTGCTCTGGCAGAGGACATAGCGTGGGCTCCTAACACTGACATGGTGGCTCACAGCCATCTCTGTAACTCCAATTCCAGGGTTCTCATCCCCTGCTCTGACTTTTGAGGGCACCAGGTATACACATGGCACATACATACATACATACATACATACATACATACATACATACATACATGTGGGCAAAGTGCTTACATTCATATTTTTAAAAACTCATAAAATAATAATTTAAGAAACCTTAAAGGCCTGTGATAATAACTAGGCCAGTTTGTGGGGCTTTATTTCCGTTGCCTTACATACTTTTCTCATGGAGAAAACAACATAGCATAAAGTATAAGTCAGCAATGCCACTGACTTCAGATTCTGTGACAAAGGTTGAAAATATGCCCACTCCTCTAATGCTGCTGTGACTGCAAAGAGGCACTCAAGATGACATGTGGCCACATCTGCTGTGCATGCCTACTGCTCTTATGTCCATCTGGCCCGGATGCTTTCTGCCAATTTCTCTCTCACGCCTAATATGGAGATAAGTTAATTTAGCTATTGACATCTCAAGCTAGATTCAGCAAAATGTGTCATGTGTAACCTCAGCGTTGGGGAGGTGGAGGCAGAAGGATCATGAGTCTGAGGCCAGCTTGGGGGTACATAGTAAGATCGGCTAGGGCCCTCCAGATGGCTCAGTGGGTAAGAGTGGCAAAGCTAGGACCCAGGACCCACATGACAGAAGGTGAAAGCATTTACAAGGTGTCCTCTGGCCTCCACGAAGTTTTGTGGTACACACACACCCATGCAAAATACATTTTTAAGTGAGAGACAGATGATGTTCAGATTTCATGAACACACACTTCAGTGTGTGTGAATAATACCAACATCCCTCCCGCCCTGTCTAAGTGCCTTTCTAATCTTGAGTTCAAAACAGCCCCCATTAACACTTCCCTGAACATGACTGCACACTATAGAGATTGTATTTTTTCCCCACAATGGATCAAAATGAATTGTAATTGAAGGGGAAGCCCATTCTGAACTATTTTGTAGTTACTGGGGGTCAATCACTGTTGCTCTGCCCTAAGTGCTGAGATCTGTAGGTGCAAATACACCGTCACAATAAAGAAAAGTAAGCAACCTTGTCCCGCTTGGGTTTTTGCATTATTATTTTCATATCATTGTACATTATACCCTCTTTTCCTCCGTTCTGAGGGAGATGGAGTTTTTCCATTCGATAGGGACATAAGTTTAAAATAGCAGCTTCTAGAATGATACCCAAGAAAACCAATGACATCTTTATCATACACTATAGGAAGTTAGACCACTGTTTTTCTAGTAGAACTAAGAAGTTCAGCTACTCGCAGTTCCTACTTGAAAGCAGTCACGTTAACACGCAGAGGCTGACTGGACAGCCTGGCATCTAGTATAGTGGTGCCCTGGCGGTCCCAGATTTAGCTATCACTCATTGATTCACATTAGCTGTTTTGTCTGTTTTGTACAGGGTCTTCCTGGGGTAGAAACAGTGTAGGAAGCAAGCTACAGCTTTGCTATGTGCTATGGAATTTAAATTTCCCTCTCCTGTTTGGATCCTTCTCCCTTAAAAGGAAGCCATGCAAGGGTCTTGTTACTGTTGCTCAGCAGGAGTTTCTACATTGTTGCAGCCTTAGAGACCAACTATGGGAGAAAATAACTGGTTAGGATAGTCATGGGCATGAAACAGTTGGAAGGTCCCTCCCAACTGGACAGGTATTGCCAGTAACCAGGACAACCAAAACAGGAGGGAAAACACCCCTTTGGAAGGATGAGTGTGCCAACTGTGATCTCAGGCAAGGCCAAGTTCCCAGAAGGGCCGAGTTTTGTGCGAGCTGCAGGCCAGGGGGTCACATCACTTTATGATCAAACAGAAGTGGCCAGGAGCATCTCTCAAGCCATAGGCACCCTTTTTGATCTCTCTCTCTCTCTCTCTCTCTCTCTCTCTCTCTCTCTCTCTCTCTCTCTCTCTCTCTCTCTCTCCTTCCCCCCCCCCCCTTAGAGCAGGGGAATGTCTGATTCTCCTTCCCTACTACAAACGCCTCCAGGAAGCAGTTTGACAGAATGGCTGGGAACTAGCCTCACCCCGCCACCTGTATCCTTGATGAACATGTTTTTGCTCGGACATGGATGAGATTCCATCCCCTCCCCCCCCTGCCCCCTGAAAAGTAGTCTACCGTGTTTGATTTCCTAGCTCACCCCTCAAATATCATGGTGGCAGCGTCAGAGGGAGTGCCTTGAACCATGTGTGTTCAGGAGATGATCCCTGAACGAAGGGTGGAATAGGAAATCTTTCTAACAAGTGGGACCCCCGAACATAATACGCTTTTTCCTGGTTCAAGTTTAGGATTAAATGAAGAGGAACTGGAGAGGTTCCAGAGGATAGTAATGAAAATGATTAAAGGGCTGGTGATGAAAGCCGAGAGGAATTGGGATTACTTAGCCTGGGGAAGAGAAATCTGAGGGGTGATTTAATGGCAGTCTTCAAGTGCGGTGCGTGGAGGGTTATTGCAAGCATGGGAACCAGCTGTTTCCCAGCTGTGCCCACGCTTGAGAAGGAAAGAACTAGAATTTCAGGATTTCTGTTAGCCAGGGACACCAGGGGATCCCAGGCAAACTCAAGAGGTGAAAGGTCACAAAGGAGCACCATTTTAATGTATGGAGCTCCTGCTAAGGCAGACAGCAACATGTACTAACGTAACAAGGGCTTATGGGGAAAATATGGGCTATCACTAAACCCCGGGAAATCTTAGACTCTGAGGGAATGGATGAGCCCCAAGATTTGGGGAGCTCAGGTTGAAATGCAGTGAACTCTGAAGAGGGGAGACAAGAGCCCTGGCTGGAGCCTCACTCCACCGGGGCTGGAGCCCTCATGGAGCCTGTGGTGTGCAGGGAGAATCCCATTGCCACATGGCTCTGCCTGACTCCGGGGTCTTCATGGGGGGGGGCACAGGGTTTACCCTGTACCTTCCACTGTCCTTTCTGGACGCGGGCTGATCCCATGCCTCTCCGACTTCGGCTCATCACCAACTCTCAATTATCAGCGGCTTTATTCTTAATAAAATGACACTTTTAAAAAAATGTTTTATTACAAAGCTTCTTTTAAAAAATGCTCAGCACGGCAACTCAAACTGGAATGACAAACGTTAAGATGACAGTTTGGGGCAAAGGCTGTGCCTCGCTGTTGAAAAATAACAGGTACATCAACGCTCATTTTAACAACTGGCATAAATTCCCACTAATTGGCTAATAAAAACAGATACAAATACAGAACATTTAAAGGAATAACAGTTCAAGTGCTGGGCTTTTTACAAGAGTGAAAGGAAAGAAATGAAAATGCACAGCAAATGGGTGTACGTTAAAGTTTGTCATATAAAAAAAAAAATCAGAAAATTAAGTGAGATGGGCTGCCAATCGCTAACAACGAGAGTGGGTTTGGCTAATGGTTTAGCTCTATCGGACACTTCACAGGACAGAGGCCCCTGTGTGTCACGGAGAACCCGCCTGCTGGACAAGCCCTCTCAGGAAGACAGAAGGCTTCTCCTCATCTTCTTTTTATCCCAAACTCTTCCAGACCTACGAATTTCGCTGAAAAGCTCAGAGCTAGTAAAATATACAAGGAAAATAAATTTTCTTTAAAAAGGAAATTTAAAAATTAGAGTTAAAAAATAAAAGAAGCAAACACAAGCTTGATCCTTTTGTACTGTTAAATAAAAACTTGAAGAAGATAGGAAAATGAAGACAAAAACGGGAGGAGTCCTCCACAATTCTCTCGCCAGGATGCTGATGCCTGCTCTGGTCGCTGGGTCGGGTTGCGGTGACAAGGTACTATCCTTGAGAAGGGTGACAGGTCTGCACAGAAGGGAAGTGTGCACAGAGACCAGAAGCAATGCCACTCAGTGGGCAGGGCCTGCTAGCATTCTCTTGGGCTTTTTTTTTTTTTTTTTTTTTTTCTTTTTTTTTTTTTCTTTTTCTTTTTTTTTTTTTTTCAGAAACAACCGGTTTTTGACTTGCTTTTGGAAGTTGGCGCTTGCAGGAGACGGGAGGAAGGGCCGGCAGTGACTGTCTCTGTGGGTCAGCATCTCTAGCAGTGACCTCGGGGTAAAGAGGCTGTCAGAGCTCCTTGGGGGTCAGCCGGGCAAGCTGTGGAGGCAGTCTGGGTTTTCAACAAGCTTCCATCTCCAGAAGAGGGCCTGGGGTCGCCGCCTTGGCTTTGCACGTTGGGAATGAGCTTCTTTTGCCACCTCAAGAAGGAACAAAGGAAATGCTATTAATATGAATTGGCCATTGGGCCTCTAAAGACTGTACCTTCTATTACAGGCAGCAATGTCTGACCTAGTCATCTAAATGATCCATTTTCTCAAGTTCATGTTGGCTAAAACGGATTGCCGGATACTAGCCAAAAGAACCTCAAATACATCCCAGGGTAGGTGTATAAAGCTGAATTTTTATTTGGCTCTGTATATGCATGTGCAGACCTATGCCATGGCGAGTATTTATAAAGTGTTGGGCCTTGGTTAAACAGACAAAAAACCATGATTGAAAACAACATCCATAGGCGGGATAGGCTAGACATGAATCGGAGAGGTGAGCAAGAGCCAGGCCAGGGGATGGCCTGTCATGCTGAAGTATTAGCTGGTTTTAGTTCACTCTAGGAGCCACTGCAGGATTCTACACAGTACTAGAACATTCCAAACAGCCAGCATGCCGCTAACTCCTATAGGACAAGCCCAATATACCCAGGATACAGTGGATACATCTCCATTTACCCTTAAGTCCTCAAGATGATTCCCTCCACAGTCATGAAGACATTCAATGTTAACCTAAAATGAATACTCTGCAGGAAACTGAAAATAACTTTTTTTTTCAAAAGCAAAGAAGCCCTTAGTCCCCAAAGTTTTAATGACCTGAGATTTTACAATGCCACTAAAGGTTAAAAAGAAACACTGTAACAAAAGGAGACAGAGGCGAGCAGAGGCAAGGTCCTGTCCCTTCAGCCCTTCACTAGTCCCCATAGCTTTGAACATGAGATAGAGGTGCAGGAGCCCTGTGTCCCATCTGGAGCCCGGACAGCCTCAGACGAGCCCAGGCCTCTGTGCTTCTGATTGGTATATCCCCCTTACAAGTAGACTGTCCCCCCCAAAAGGTTAATTCTGTGGGGTGGGCTCCTTCGCACTCCCAACGAAGAGGAAAGGAAGGAAGGAGTCCGAGTAGTCGGACAAAGCTGGAACCATCTGAGGTGTACGAGCAGGCTGGAAGGCCAAGTGCTTTCCACAGGACTGCAGTTCAGAGAAGAAGAGGGCACCTGCCCACAAGCTGTGCGGAGGCAGAGGGCGCGGCCTTCTGTGCGTGGAGGACCGCAGGGCCGTGCGGGAGGACGGCAGGCCGTGCGTGGAGGATGGCACACCTGTGTGTGGAGGACGGTTGCTCCCACCACAGCTGTCTCTACAAATACCTGATCTAAACTGTGAAGCAACTGTATCCCCGAATGGTTACTGAGAAATAAAACAAAGCAAGAAAATGGGAAGGAAGCATGGCAACAGGATAACTGTAAGTCTCCAAAGATTTAAAATCCTTACTCTGCAAAGCTAACCTTTCCCAAGTTAGCAGAACAACAACCTGTTCAGTTACAATCCTTGTTACCAACCAAGCAACACATCGGGCCTTCACAAGGAGGGTCAAAGAGCTAGGGAAGGCAAGACCTCTCTAATGAGAGAGGAACAGACTGAAGAAGTCTGGGAAGGACACGGGCCCTGCACGTCCTCTGTTTACTTTGTGCTTCTGCATGAAGGCTGTCCAAAGGCTGTTATTCCTGGTCAGTTTCCCCTCAGTCTGTGACAGGAAAATATTTTTCCTTCCTTCCTTCCTTTTCTTTTTTCCAAGACAGGGTTTCTACATGTAACAGTCCTAGCTGTCCTGGAACTTGATTTGTAGACAAAGTCGTCCTTGAACTCATAGAGATAGGCCTGCCTCCCAAGTGCTGGGATTAAAGGAGTGTACCACCACCACCTGGATGAAAATACTGTTTCTTAAGGATATATAGCCTTGAAGTCCTATGCTGCTGGTCCATGCCAGGCTGCTGGGATTTAGACCTGACTGGCCTAAGGGAGCTGGGAATGTCTCTGTTATCTCTCTGCTGGGGTCTGTCCCCAACTCCAGGTGCAGGGAACTCTAAACCATGCAATGAACACATCCCCTGTGACCTAGCTGTGACCAATATTCCCCTTCTTCTGCACGCCTGCCTACAACCCACCCTGTCCCTCCCTTCTTGAGTTGGGCTCAGCAATAATTAACAGTCAAGACAAGCATGGCTGGCGAGAGCATCATTTTCCTCACGGACAAGACATAACTTACCTGGACACACTCTCCCTGTCTCCTCACAGCCATTCTTTGCCACGCACTCAGGGTTTGGCTGCCTTTATCTCACATTCTGTTGCCTTGCAACACCCCCTGACAAGTTGGCCATCTTCAGAGGTCCCCTGCATGGTAGCCTACCACCCAAGTTGCATCCCGATTGGGGAACTGTCATTCAAAGTGGCAAGGAGGCTCCTTGACTATCCTTGGCCACCCTGTTAAAATACCCAGACACCAGGGTAGACCAGCTCTTCTTACATCCCATGGGAGAAATGGGGTCTTCAGTGTGGTGTCTTCTCTCTCTCTCTCTCTCTCTCTCTCTCTCTCTCTCTCTCTCTCTCTGTGTGTGTGTGTGTGTGTGTGTGTGTGTGTGTGTTAATTCAAGGTTCTTTAGAAGAAACCACTGGCACTAAGTTCCAGAGATGGGAGACTTGCCACAGTCTGCAGTGGGGCCGGGCGGCTTGCTGGCAAAGGACAGGGCTCCACCCACCGAAGCCTTCCCTTGCAATCAAAGCAGCAATTACCAAGCCTTCAGCTTCAAAGGCGGCCAGCAAGTCTCCCTTACAGATGTTAAGGCCAGTGCCCTGCCATGTGGCCATTACTGCAGTGGCTTGACAGAATACAATGCCCTTCATGCCCTGAGCACTGCTGTGTTTCTGGAACTATCTCCAATCTGACATAACACCCCTCCACTCGGGTAGAACCGAGATCCCCTCTCCTGGCTTAGGAAGAGCGGGAATGGAAAGGGAAAAGCTGAAGATTCCTGGCAGGTGAACTGCACTGACCCTGAGACACTGGGCCTCTGGCCTTGGCACAAAACTGAGAGGGGAAATAAATGTGGGATTCTATTAAAGGCCCGGAGGCTTGGGAAGGCCCTGGACACCTGGGCTTGGCAGCTAAGGCAGGGATAACAAGGCAGGTCTCTTAGGGCCAAAATGCGAATTCTCCTACCCTTCACAGCAGGCTCAGAGTCTGTAAGCAATCAAAAGCACTGGTCTGGGACAAGATTCGCCCTCCACACCTCCCCCCCCCCCCCCCCCAACCACTTCAGCCTAAATGCCACCAGCAGGAAGTAGGGGCCTGAATGTGTTTGCAGTTATAACATCATCTTTGGGGGCGGGGGACAGTATTAGAGATTAGTTTTGTGAGAGGTGAAAAGAGGTTTTAAGTGAAAGAATTGCCTTGTGGCAACATACCACACCCCTCATACCAGCAGCCTGTTGTTCTCTGCTTGTTACGGCAGGGCGTGGACTTCTGAGTTGTACAATTTGATGTATGTGGAGGGTGGCTGTACAGGATTCCAGGGCAGGAAGCAAGCATGTGGACTGGTCTAGCCCTGTCTTTCTGCAAAGGAGACTAAGGCAGATTACGACATGACTGGCCGAAGGTGACCCCTGTAAGGACAGTTGGGCCATTTCCCCAAGCATTCTGTTTCTACCGGGCCATCGCCTTATTGACCCTGGGTCAAACTCTGCAGTTTCCCACTGCCGGGACAGTGCTGTGTGTTCTCACTTATTTGGAGAGGAGGAACTCATGGCCCAGGGTGGTGATGAGCTGGCTTGACGTCACCCAACCCACAATGGGGAAACAAACACACTTCTGCGCCTTCAACACGTTCATCACCACACTGTGCAACTAAACTGCCACCCACTTTCTTTACCCTTCCTGCCTTCCATCCATCCCTCTGTCTGTCTATCACTAGGCAACAGCACCTTTATCTTGGCAATGTGCTCTATCTACATCTAGAATACCACAGCTTTGCCCAACCCAAGACGCCACACTGTTTGAAAGCAAACCAGTAAAGAGACCCGAGATCACCAATCAACAACAACACTCCGACCCCCTCTGAGAGTCGTCCTAGCCTATAAGTCTGGCTGTGGTTCCCTGGCAGTGAGACAACCCTGGGGGTTTGGGAAAAGGAAAATGGAAATGTGTGGTCAGGGAGCTTGACACTGAGTTTTGTTTCTGCACTTGAATTAGCCCTTAGTTCCACACTCGGGACTGGTCCATTGCTAACCACAGAGCTGTGGGAGGGAGTCAGGAAGGGGTCTGGAGCCCTGGCTTTGGACTCAGATTAGATCAAGGCGGAGGCCCAGTGTGCAGCTTTCTCCTGTGTTAGTCACCATGAACAGAGAGACCTGTTAAACTAAATTTTGATGGTGTCAAGGTGACTTGAGGCAGGCCCGGGACCCATTGGCCATGACTGCAGGGGAGTTTTGTCTTCAGTCTATACAATACAGATCGGCCTGGCCTGTGAGGACGCATGTCCTGTGGGGAGGGGAGGCTGCGGCCCCAGTGACCGCTGGGTCTACAATCTGCAGGCACATTTGTGGCACACTTTACAACAGTGCTTCTCAACCTTCCTAGTGCTGCGACACGGCCCTTTAGTACAGTTCCTCATGTTGTAGTATCCCGCAAGCATGCAATTATTTTCATTGCTACTATCTAACTTTAATTTTCTACTGTTATGGATCATAATGGAAATATGTGATGCTCGGGATCTCTGATATGCAACCCTTGCGAAAGGGTCATTCGACCCCCAAGGGGTCACCACCCCACAAGTTGAGAGGCTGCTGTTCTAGAGAAAGGCTCTGAATTAAGAGGACATCAAAGGCCCGTTTTATTTCTGTGGACAGGAAGCCCCACTTCCAAATGCTGTTCCTAGTCCACGTTTCTCTCATCCTGACAGCAGTTCGCGGAGAGAGGGCAGAGGCTAACGCCCTATAAAAATGAGGCCGCAAATCCACGTACACTTGTGTGTTTGCTTTCAGATCAGGCGCCCTTTGCTTTAACACTGCCTTGTGAATCCGTATAAGTACGCGGAAGGCGGGAAAGTAGCAGTGCACGGTATAAGACCCTCAGATCAGACAGTCCTCAGTCAGGTTGCAAT